ATGCCGTTCGGACTCAGCAATGCCCCGACCGTTTTTATGGACCTTATGAATAGGGTCTTTAATCCTTTCCTGGACCAGTTTGTTATCGTGTTCATCGACGACATCCTGGTTTATTCCCGAGACATCGACCAGCATAAGGAGCATCTGAGGATTGTGCTGGAGACTCTTCGTCGTGAGAAGCTGTATGCTAAGTTCTCGAAGTGCGAGTTTTGGCGGATCGTGTGGCATTCCTTGGCCACATTGTGACAGCGAGAGGCATTGAGGTGGATCCCAGCAAGATCGAGGTAGTGAGCAAGTGGGATACGCCAAGAAGTGCCGCTGATGTTCGTAGTTTTCTGGGGTTAGCAGGATACTATCAGAGGTTTATTGAGGGTTTCTCAAAGATAGCCCAGCCACTAACCAACCTTACAAAGAAGGTCGTGAGGTTCGATTGGATTCCTAGGTGTGAGGAGAGTTTCCAGGAGTTGAAGAGGAGACTTACTACTGCGCCCATTCTATCCATTCCCGACCCTACGTTGGAGGTCACCATCTATAGTGACGCTTCGAAGATGGGTTTGGGATGTGTCCTTATGCAGCAGGGGAGGGTCGTAGCCTATGCTTCGAGGCAGCTGAAGCCTCACGAACAGAACTACCCCACTCACGATCTTGAGTTAGCTGCAGTCATTCACGCCTTGAAGATTTGGCGACACTATCTCTATGGAGGCAAGTGTGAGATTTTTACCGACCACAAGAGCCTAAAGTACATTTTCACTCAGAAGGAGCTGAATATGCGGCAGCGTAGGTGGTTGGAACTGGTTAAGGACTACGATTGCACGATTAGCTACCATCCAGAGAAAGCTAATGTGGTAGCCGATGCCCTTAGTCGGAGGAGTTATGGCCAGTTGTCCTGTCTTTTTACCGAGCAAGATGTCCTTCTTCGGGAGTTCGAGCGGCTAAAGCTAGAGGCAGTGGAGTCACCTTCGACAGCCAGGGGTATGTGGACCTTTTTGGTTGTAGGACCGACTCTTCGTGAGAGGATAGTCGCCGAGCAATCGAATGATCGTTTCCTTTGCCGGATGAAGGAGTTGTCGGAAGCCGGTAGAGTTGGAGGATTCGCAGTCGCATCTGATGGGGCCTTGGTCTCCGAGGGTAGACTTTGTGTTCCGAAGGTGTGGGAATTGCGAAAGGATATTTTGAGAGAGGCCCATAGTGCCCCGTACACCGTCCATCCTGGTAGTTCGAAAATGTATCAGGATCTGAGAAAGTCTTTCTGGTGGCGATGTATGAAGAGGCAAGTGGCGAGGTTCGTGAATGGGTGTCTGGTATGTCAGCAAGTGA